TATATATATATATATATATATACATATATATAAATATAAATACTATATGTCTGATAGCATCTGTGGGAACAGCAGGAATGAAGGTTCACAAAGAATTCACGTTCATGGTTGTTATGTTATTACTTTTGCTTTAGTCAAATCTGTCTAATCTACTGCCATTGTTGTTTAAAGCATAAGTAAAACTGTGGAGCCCTTTGGTTTAGTTAATTTACTTCATGTTCAAAAGCTGTAGGAAGGAATGACATCTTACTAATAGATATGTATGTGTCCATTTTTTCCTCTAACAGTGAAACACTACCCACTCACTTCCGCAACGGCTAATTTCTGAGTTCTTTTGACACAGTTTGTACTTCATGAGGCTGTTTTCTCTGGTCACATCTAAGCAAGAGAGAATGATGCTGTATTTCTTTTAAAGTACATTTACATTTCCTTGGTCAAGCGTTTTCCTTTTTGTTCTCCAAAAGCCACAGACCCAGTCCTTTAGGTCAAAGGACTTGAACCATTTGTATAAGAGGAATCAATCTCACGGTGAGGAAGCAGGTGTGGGAAAGAACAAAGGACCAAAGAGCCTTCCAACACTCTTACACTCCAGCCACATTTCTTCATATCTTCCTTGTCCATAAAAGACCTGGCATGACTTCGTGAATTTCAAGAGAATAAAATTTAGGGGAATTTATGGTATATTCATTGATTTGCCAGTAGCCACTTGTTTCTTGGGGTAGGGAGTATCCTGAATTACAGTGTTTACCAATTTCTGGGTTACAAATACATCCACCATGGCCAATTTCAGGTTTTATACGTGAAATCACTGAATGTACTCCTAACAGTTAGCTCTAGGGAACCAATGGGAGCAAACTCTAGCACCCCACTGCTGGTCATCATTATTTTTTATATGAAACTTTTTAATCTTAAATGGAAACATTCTGTGCAACAGAATGGAAACATTCCCTTTCATTGCAACAACTGTAAAGAACATGACAGCCAAATACGTACAAAGCATTTATTTCAAGAATATAAAAATAAAACTTTCTTTTTTGTATTTGTGGTATTTTTTAATGTCTTTTTGCTTTCAGAGGAATATGGAATGTCCCATACATGGCTAATGTGTACTTAATTAAAGGAAAGACACTCCGATCAGAGATGAATGAAAGAAACTACTTCATTCGTGATAAATTGGATCCTGATATGGCTCTTTGCCGAAATGCTAGAGAAATGGTAAGTTAAACAGTGATGGCTTGCTTGAATGTTTTTATAAGATGGCTTGCTTTTCCAGTTGGTATGTCATTGTGTTTTGATGCTTTTGTCTTTCTAATTTGTAAGTACTAGCCAATTTTTTTGGTCCTATACTTTTTGGAGAATAATTTGTGAACATTTCTAAATGTTAACTGACTAATATGCAACATAGTAAGGTTACAGTGATAAAGTGTTACAAATCAGCTTTGCAAGAATCCATCTTTATTTCCATTTGAAATTGTATAAGGAAAACTCAACTTAATTAAAATTACTTAAATGATAGGTGAAATTATCATCACATACTTAAGAAGAACACACTTTTGATATGAAATTGGTGTCCATATTCTCTCTAGCTAGGTATACCTTATAGTATTTTTATCTTTGCGTCCTTAAAAAGCAGGTTCATTCCTTATTTCTCAAGTTAAAGAATGAGATAAATAGTATAGTTAATCTATGTGAAAACCTCATCATACATTGCTGCACAAATTTACTTTTATTATAAAAGTTAAGTAACTGTAGAAAATGATTTGTTTTTCAGAATATATAAGTATGTTGAGACATATTTATATTATTTCCTGTTTTAAGTAACTACTGAATTATTTCCAAATTTTTGTCAGCAATTGTGTCTTTAGTTGAAATCAGAAAAGTTGGCAAGTATTTCTTCCTTAGTTTAACAAGGCATGTGATGTTTTAATACACTTGTTTTTCCTACAAATCTATGCACATCGTACGTATTGAATACCCTCAGTATCTGTGATTGTATTTTGTGCTCGTGTTTGGCTGATGTGACTCAGCAGCGCATCCTGGAATGGCCTCTTTTACTCATTTTTTACTTTACCTTAATTATTTATCTAAGGAATGAGCTTGGATATGTGTTTGACCAAAAAAAACAAAAAGAGAAAGAAAGAAAGGGCTGGAGAAAGTTTCTTTGTGTGTGCTACCAGCTTTGCTTGTTCTGCATGTTGCCTGTGAAGGGCGTCTATCTCAGAATGTCAGCTCTCGATCAAGAGCTGCTGTTTTTATTTACCAAAGAATGCCTGAGAGGATGGGCGTGCAGTTCAACTTACCCATTGCTTTCTTCATTTTAGACTTTACAAAGGGAAAAAGACTCCCCTACTCCGGACACATTCCAAATGCTCAGCCCCCCAAAGGTGTTATTTTTATTTATTTTCTATTTATTTTTGCTTATGTAATTACTATTCGAGACAGTATATTGCTTAGCAGTAAAGTTTTTTTTTTTTTTAAAGGTTTCTTTACATTTAGCCTAGTAAAAATGTTGGTATTCACAGGTTAATCAACTATACTTGTGCGTGTGTGTTTTGTGAGATGGTGCAACAGTGTTTAAGAGTCAGCTCTTGGGTCTTTGAAGTGAGTTATATTTTATGGTTGACAGATGAGAAGTTAAACCAAACTCCTTGAGATCTGTCACTCAAGTTTGTATTTTTCTAGTTTGTATTTTTTTCCTTGGGAGTTGGAGAGAGAAGACATAGGAGTAAGTATAAAATGCATTTTTGAAGTGCATTTTCATTGAAGATGAGGCTTGGGCACTCTTCTTGATTTACTAATCCTCTTACTATTAAAACAGGTACAAAAAGGAACACCCTGGCCTCAGTTGTGTCTGCCACATTTATTTGGTTTGGGCAAAGATGCGAGGCTGTTTTTGTTTGTTTGTTTGTTTGTTTTCACAATACGTAATTTTAGCCAAAAGGTTGAGAAGAAATTTTTTGTTTGTTTTTAAGCTGCCTTATAATGCATGACTAATTTCTGTATTCAATCTAAATAATACAACAGTAAAAGAATGAAATGCTCTGATGAAATGGCACTGCCATTTTGAATTTTTATTAAAAATGTGACATTTCCTTTGAAAGGGGAAAAAAGCAAAAAGAAGGTAAAATGCATTGCACTTTGGTGTCTCAAAATATTTCTGCTTTCAAACAGGAATTTCTTTTCCGATGTCTACCCTTAGGATCAATGAGAAAGGGACAAAACCAGTCGCTTCTTCCTGTCCTTTTTTTCAGTTGAGTGTCAGTGCTATCTACTAGTTTTGTGCGGTGTCTGAATTCACAATTGAAATCTTACTTCATTTATTTTAAATCATGCACGTTTTGAATAAAAAATAAAAATGCATGTTCATGAATGAAATAAAAAGTTGTTGAAATTACTATATCCTACGTATTTTTCCTTTGGTTAAATTTATTTTCCATTCTTTCTTTTAAGATTAATGCTATTATTTTTTGACATGTAGGGTGTGTTTATGTACATTTCTAATAGACACGAATTTGGACGACTATTATCAACTGCTAACTACAATACTTCCCACTATAACAATGACCTCTGGCAGATTTTTGAGAATCCTGTGGTATGTGTTTCAATTTCATTTATTACTTCTCTTCCTATAACTCTTAGTAAATATAAATCTATTGGCAAACAATAGGAAAACGTGATAAGACTTTTAAAAAATTTGATAACTAGTTGTATTTCATGATCTGTAGAGTAGGTCTAAAATCTACTCTCAGTCTAAAGTCTGAGAACTTATTTTTTTTAATTAAGACATACGTTAGGTTTGAGAAAGTGAGTTATTTGTCCTCAAAAGTACCACACAATCTTAATTACAATCTCAGAAAAATGTTTATAAGTAGATTATATATGATGATATTTTGATTTTCAGAAGAAATTTCATGAAGTTATGTTATCACTTTGGGATTTTTTTCTTGACAATTTTGAGAATATACAATGAGAATTTCCAGAGAAAACTGTACAGCATGCTTGTATAGCATATAAAGAAAGTCTTTAAGTTAAAGAAATTGTTTCCTTTTTGTGTGTTTGTTTCCTTGTTTTGGGAGGGTTTTGATGTTAAGCCTAGGCTTACCTTTGAACTCACTATGTATCTCAGACTGATCTAGAACTGGAGAGCCTCCTGCCTCAGTTTACCAATTGTTGAGATTACAGGTGTGCCCCACCACATCTGGAAAATAGTTCATTTGGAAGTCTAAAAGGTTTTTTTTGTTTTCCTTTCTTTTTTTCTTTTTAAGTTTTGAATTTGATTTATATGGATTACTTTCATTTAGTAAAATTGGCACATTTATTCAAAAGAAAAAGCTGTTTTGGATAATCATCTCTGTGAAATTGATACTTAAGATTACCCCTTGCCAGTGATAATAGTTTTTTTATTAATATTATTACAAGCTAGGCACCAGAGACCCCCCCACCTGTAATCCTAGCTACTCTGGAGGCAGAGATCAGGAGATCGCGGTTCGAAGCCAGCCTGGGCAAATAGTTCGTGAGACCCTATCTCTATAAAAACCATCACAAAAATAGGGCTGGTGGAGTGTCTCAAGGTGTAGGGTCTGAGTTCAAACCCCAGTACCACAAAAAAAAAAAAATTATGTTACAAAGACACAACCCACCTAATGAGAATTGTCTTTAATTTTTGTAGGAGTAGTACAGATCAAGAAAGAGTAAATTTAATCGTCTCTGAATACTCTGTTGAATAGGAAAGGAAAATCTTTTGACATTCTGGTATTTTAAAAGTGCTTTTGTCTCATCTTACCTCTATATCCTCAGATTGCAGGAGTAGAATTGAAAAGAGGCTTGTTTTTCTTTGAGAATGGAATTGCATGTTCCACTTTGGCTCTGAATTTCTTGGTATTTTGAGGGATAGAATTACTTGATTTCTTGGATAATATTAACCTCCTGGTAAGAAGTCCTAAATTGCATCCTACATGGTAGACATTTGTGTAAGAATTCACCTCTGAGGAGAGCACAGGCTGAAAATAGTCGGATCTGAGTAGGAACTGCCTTTCTTTCCAAGCCTTTACTTACTCTCTGATCAGTTACACCAATGAATATGCTGAGTGATGACAGATGACAAAACACTTAGTGATTGTCCCCTTGTCAGAATTTCTAAAATTTAGTAAAGTCCTCATTTGGCCAATGACGTTAAAGACAGTCTGTAATGAAGTTTTAGTATCATTGTCCCAATGAAAGATCATAGGACCTTCTTAACATCAATAAAAATGATACGTAGAAAAAATACTATAGATTCCTAAATCTTGTGGTGACTGTTTTAATTTTTTTCATGTTTTAGAGTCAAAAATCTGAAAAATAGTAAGGAAATAATAAAATAATACAGAAATCTGATCCTTGTAATTGTGCACTATACAAATACTTTCTTTACTAAAAAAATTTGAAGATAATTTTGGTTTCTCCACATCAAAGTTAAGCTCCATATAAGGATATACAAAACTCAGAATTAGGTGTAAATTGCCATGATCTTAGCACCTCTGTAATCTAGCCTCAAAGGTATATTTTAGACAAATATTTTTGAAAATGTACACACATTTTTGCAGTCCTAGGGGATTGAACTCAGGGCTTCGCTCTGTACTACTTGATCCACACCCACAGTCCTTTGGCTTTCTGTGTTTTTTAGATATGGCCTCACTTCCTATGTTTATACTATGTAAAGAGAAAATTGATAATTTTGATAGCGTAAATTCATTTAAAAATATATTTTGAGTACCATACTTAAGCTACTCCATATTTTACTTGTACCTTTTCATTCTTGGGTTTGTATATCAGTTGTCCCAGAAAAAAGTTTACTTGGCTAATGTTGAAAAACAGTCGACATGTCTTTTATGTGGTTTATGTGTCAGAGATTGTCACAGAGAAGAGGGAAATGCATGAGTAGTCACGAGAAGTGACAATTTTCAATGTAAGGCAGTAATCCTTAATTTAGTTAAGTAAAAGGGAGTGTGTATGCAGATAGCATTGTGACTTCTATTAATTGTGTAGTTAATCTATCCTAATGATAAAAAAATAATTAAATATAGTTTAGAAAACTGTGTCAGTAACCCTATCATTATTCTTTGATAAATACTGAAAATTCAAGGGAAGGTAGAAATTTAAAAATCATTTAAAAATTAAAAGCAAAATATTTCCTTATGGAAGTATAAATAAGGCACTAATTAATTCATTCATGAATTAATTTTTACCATTATTTTTTATAGGATTTTTTCCTCATTTTTTTTAGGTTCTGAGAATTACACTGAGGGTGTCAAGCATGCTAAATACCTGTTGTAGCCCTGAGCCAAACGACCAGTGCTGTCTTTTTTTTAAACACCACATGTAGTTACTCTTGTGTATGCATAAAATATACCAGGCAAATTTAGTCACTCTAAAATTATTTAATTTTAACACCCTGAGACATAAAATAAAAGTTTTGTGTTTTATGGAACAACGTGAGCATATGTATAAGCAGACAAAGGTTAAAATATAAACTGTGTTTTTAAATCAGAGGACAGAGGACAGAGCAGGTCCTGGGGGGATACCAGTGGGAGGAGGGAGGAGGTGGGGAAAGGGTGGGAGGGTAAAGATGATGCAAATACTGTGTACACATGTGTGTAAATAAAAAAATGAGACCTGATGAAACTAGTCCAGGAATGGGAGAAGAGGGAGATAAGAGACAATGATGAAGAGGGTGAATTCAACTATGATATATTTGATATATTGTAAGAACTTTCATAAATGCCACAATGTATCCCCACCCAACACAACAATAAAAAATTATATATATATGTATATATATATAAACTGTTTTCTGAAAACTCTTATTTTGTCTATTATACATAGTCATTTATAAATAGTTGGAGTAATTTTTAAAATGTATGTACTTTATGTTTTCTAGTAAAGCATTTACAAGAAGGTATTTGCTTTAATGTATGTAATTTTCTTTTGTTAGGACTGGAAGGAAAAGTATATAAACCGTGATTATCCCAAGATTTTCACTGAAAATATAGTAGAGCAGGTTAGTATTGATCTGGTTATGGTACAGAGAACATCATTTTTGCTGTTTTTCAGAAGGGAATCTTATTAATGGCCTAGTAGTGCAGTGGGAAATGTGAAAGTAGAGAAAATATCCTTTAGGTAAAAATTCACATGACTTGCTTACAGCCTTGAAGATCAATACTTATGAAACTGGAGCTGAACAATAATTTAAGATAATACCTTTAAAAAAAATCATGCTCCTAAGTGTTATAACTACTAAAGTGTTGAAACCACTGGAATTAGGGAACTCTTGATAGATCCCTAGGGTAGACCTCTTTCAATGGAAGTTTATTTTTGAAAGACATCGGGTTTTCTTTCTTAAAGGAAAAGCCATTTCTCAGAGAGATTCAAAATATGAACTCTATTTAGTGTTCAAAGCTCAGCCTTTGTTACTGAGAGTGCAAGAAATATCAATTCTGAGACACCATTGTTTTCTGTACCACAAGAAAGAACAACACTGCCAAGTAAACTGTGACACAGTATTTTCTAGTCATTAAGAATTTTTTGTCTTATACAAATCAAAGAGCTATACTAATACACATGTTTAATACACATGTTTTCCAATGGTGACACCATGTTACAGCCTTGTCCAGATGTCTTTTGGTTCCCCATATTTTCTGAAAAAGCATGCGATGAATTGGTGGAAGAAATGGAACATTACGGCCAATGGTCTGGGGGAAAACATCACGTAAGTTGTCATTTCCACAAAGAACTAAAATGTGTGTGTGTTGAAAGGAAGGGTGTGGTTACCCAGAGAATTCACAGGGGTTTGTCCTTTTTGTCACACATCCTTTTATCTATAGGAATTATCTAGCTAAGGCTGTCCAGAGGACTTTCTTTTCAGTCTCATTTTACTGTCTGCTCATTGTTTTAATGCTGAGAAGTCATTCATCCGTCCTGACCGCAGTGTCTCACTGATGCCTGGTCCATAGGCGTCAGCACCCTGAGGCTGGAGTTGGTTGGTAATACGAGTCTTCATTGGTACCGTTCTTCTCCACAGACACTTTTTCCTCCTTGCATTTCACGTGAACACTAGTGAAAAATGCACATTCACTGTCGAAACTATTTTCTGTGTAAACATTGGAAGGAGGGATCTGTTTTGCCTGTGTGCAGTGTCATTCTGCTCTGTGTTACATGTGCTTACAAAGACTCGGCAGACAGCAATGCTGACATTGCTCCCATGTGCCTCTTTCCTTCTGAAAACCCACAGATGCTGCCACCTCCTTAACAGGTCACAGGGATTTCAGGGGAGACTGGAATATTACTGTATCTGTCCAATAATGGCCCCAATAGTTAGCAGCTAAGGAAGAGAAAGGTTCAAAGTTTAAGGAAGAACTTGAATTCAGTCGGTCTTGTGAGATCATGAAAAACAGTCATTGGAAGATTGTGGGATTCACAAAAGAAAAGTGAGGAACACAGCAGAGAAAGCTTTTTTGTGAGAGCTCAGGAAGTCCATTGCATTTACTGTATAATGAATCCTCAGATGTACGTTTAGTAAACGGCAGGAGTAGTGGCTCTGCCTCACTTAACTTCACCTTTGCAACATTTGTTGACCTGAAGCTAAGAAATTTTGATCGTTTTATAATTAAAGCAGGTGGTTAGATATGTTTTATTGTATGTTACGATCTGTGGTTGAAAGAAATGCAAGGCAATGTCTGTGAGTTGCCTGCGATGATGCGTTGATGCTGGTTGCAGGACAGCCGCATTTCCGGCGGTTATGAAAACGTGCCAACCGATGACATCCACATGAAGCAAATCGACCTGGAGAACGTGTGGCTTCATTTCATCCGCGAGTTCATTGCTCCGGTTACACTGAAGGTCTTTGCAGGCTACTACACAAAGGTAGCTGTCCTCCTACCCCTGCCTGCTCCCTGCCTGTTACTGCTCAAAGATGCCCGTATGTTTTTGTTGTTAAACAAATCTACTGGCTTACTTCCCTGTCTAGGGGTTTGCACTATTAAATTTTGTTGTAAAGTACTCGCCTGACAGACAGCGCTCCTCCGTCCTCACCATGACGCTTCAACGTTCACCATCAATATTGCTCTTAACAATGTGGGAAAAGATTTTCAGGTAATTTTGAATCGGCCTTTTTGATCTTTCAAAAGAAGTCTGGTATTCTGTAAGGGGCTTTGCTTTAGTTTCTTTTTTAGATTCTTCTCAGATGCTATTATTTGAACTCTGCCACTAACTGAATATTGAAAATTGTAAGCTGATACATTTGTTCGCTTTAATTTTTTTTTAGGGAGGTGGATGCAAATTTCTAAGGTACAACTGCTCTATTGAATCGCCAAGAAAGGGCTGGAGCTTCATGCACCCTGGGAGACTGACACATTTGCATGAAGGACTTCCTGTTAAAAATGGAACACGGTACATCGCAGTGTCATTTATAGATCCCTGAGTCACTTATTTCCATTGCATTGAATTTTCTTTTGGAACAGACGACTGGCATGAGCATGTCTTTGAAGTTGTGCTGAGACGATGACAGGAATATTTAAATAACTTCAACAGAACAACTTCTCTTTGGACCAAATATTTGAAAAACTTTTTATAAAAAAAAAATTGTTTGATGTTTCTTAATGTCTGCTCTGAGCCTTTATACACAGGTTGAAGAAGAGAAGAAAGAAAAAAATGTAAAAGAAAATATTTATTTCTCTGCTTTACTGTTTCTGAGAGTAATGACAATTTTCTGAATTTGTGTTTCAAGTTGATAAAGTATTCAGGTACCAATGTATAAGTGACAAGTAAGTCTGATGATATTTTATTTAAGAAAAGCCTGAGAAGAATTTTATTTATTAATATGTGGGGGACACAGAAAAAATGGATATAAATGAAAATTGCAAGTTTAAAGCCTGGAAATCTGATGATGATGAAATTTGTTTGTAATTATCGATCACTGTTTTGACCATTTGTGCTAGTTCCTTTTACAGGAGCAACACTAAGGGAACACAGAAAAATATTATGCAATGTTTTTCTCAGGAAACTTAATATAAACACAACCAAGGAGGTATCCATTGGAACATCTTTGCTTAGAGCATAAGGCAGATTATTTCTGCATTCATATTAGAAAGTAAACCCTACGTTCCTTCAATGACCCTTTCAAACTGGATTATAGTAAGGAGAGATTGCATTCAGGAAAGTTGACAAGCCTTTCCATTTCTGAAAGTACGTCATGTGTCAACTAAAAATCAGCAAGCGTCCTTAAGATTTTGTTTCATTCTGTTGTCTTTCTGATTGTAGAAAACAGTGAGGAAAAAGAAAAAATTCATTGAGATTAGTAATGATTTTTTTTTTAAAGCTATTGAAGTACTTGAATTTTATATCAGGAAAATAAAGTGGTTGAGCCTCATTTCCTCCTTCTTGCCTTTTGTCTCTCTCCTGTTTTTTTTTGGAGGGGCAGGGGATCATTTGATTTTTTTCTCTTTTAAGCATAATTTCTATTTTATCTTTTGTCTCTTTATTACTTTCCCTGTATCCCACTTTAAAAAAAAAAGAACAAAATTTGATTTCATTTTTTAATATTTGTCTGAGTGAGGTTTAAGTATCCTTATTGTAGCTACTGTTTTAATTTAAAGGTCAAACTTGAAAAGAAGAGCATAATCATGGTGCCAAAACTCATTTTTCTAACACTATGTGTTAGAAAATGATGGAAAATAAAATAATTTAACACAGCATTTTGTGTTTTCTTTATTATTGGGGATTTATCTGTAGAAGTGAATAGGTGGTGGTGGATTCTGAAAGAATATCTAGACATGAAGGCTATTTTTTTTTCATTTTGCTTGATAGAGTTAATAGTATCATAACTTATCAAAACTCCACTTACTAAATTATAACTTTAATTGTATAATCTTACAGTGACTGGAGATTTGATCTTACTCATTTTAGCAGTAAGGAATCAGAGGCCACACGTTTGTTCCTTGTGCTGGTGTTTTGTGTCTCTGCTATGGTACAGTTTTAGGCAATGAAGATGCAGTGATAAAAGATGGATTTAGGAAATGAGGAAGTTAGGTTCTGTCTCTGTTGTCTTCCATATGGCACTAAATACCCAAAGTAAATTGCTACCCGTCAACTAGAGTGAGCAAACATTTTGGTAATGATTTGTGAATTATATTATTGTACTTCAGAGGCAGCATTTAAAATACATAGCAACTGGCATAGCATGAATGTCAGCCCATCACAAGAAACTCTATAAACCAGGTGGAATTCTCCAGTGCAAGTCAGTTTACTGCCCCATATGGTACAGTTCAGAGGAAGAAAAGCCACCAGATAACGGTTTTTCTCTATAGTCATATACAGGTGTAACTATTTTAATCTTAGATCATGTTTCCAGAAACTGAATCAAGGGAGTTGACTAAGCAACCTTTCTTATCTTCCTTCTTAAATTCTTTGAAATAATATAAAATGTACTTTTTGAAAGCAGGAGTCATACTTGGTGAGGGAAAAGTAAATCAGAGGATTCGAAAGATGGTAAATAAGTGGGATTGGATGTATGGACAGAACTGATGCTTGAAACACACCTATCCAAAGACTGCTTGGAAACACTTCTGTGGTATGATTGATTCAGTTTATGGAGGAGTAAAGAGCATTTGAAAGGCATAGCATCTATGTTAATTTTATATATCTAATCTCTCGTACAGATGAACTTGAGAAATAAGTTATTCTACTTAGAGTATGATACCACTTAAGTTAAAGACAGAGCTGTGTGTGTGTGTGTGTGTGTGTGTGTGTGTGTGTGTGTGTGTGTGTACATTCACCTGAAATGCTCTAGAAGGGAGAACACTTGGATGGTGGTGTGAGATTGTGGATTTACACCTTTTACATTTTATATTTCAGTGTTATTGAGATATTATGGAAATAAGTTTTAGCATTAGTTATTTAGTTAAAGAAAGATGTAGAAAAGGGGGCGAATTCTCATTCCTAATTTAATTTGAATAAATAAATTATTTATTTATTAATAAATAAATAAATACATCATCATGTATGTCGATGATGATAATAACCATTGTGTGTGTGTGTGTGTCTTCCGGGGGGGATTTAACTGCTGGGGATTGAAGCCAGGTCTTCACACGCTTAACACTCCTTCTACCTACTGGGCTGCACCTCTAGCCCTCACTTTTTCTAATTCTTCATGTTCATAGAAAGCAATGTGAATATTTTCCCCTAGAATAGACACTTCAGTAATAATGCAATCTCTTAATCTCTATTCTGCCTTACATTTGAAAAAAAAGAGGGATTTATCTGCGTTGGTGACTTACCTCATAGGTGAAATCCCTGTATGGAGTACAACTGTAACTGGCATGTATGAATTGAGTGATTCCTTCTAGGGTTAGGGTCACAGTCACCCTCCCATTCTCCCTATCTGCATTTATACTTATGAGTTTTTATGCTTGCTAAGTCTTGTCATAATTTATATGATTTTTGGACCTGTCGTTTATTTGGAATATAGAATAACTTATACCACAAATGTCTTCAAGTTGTAGAAAAGTCTAGTCAAATTTGAAAATTTTATTCGTAGTTGACAGTCAATCTGTGAACTCTCTAACTAGACATTCACTGCTTCTGAAGAATTAAATTCTTTAAAGACTTTGTGAAAGCAGGTTTTGTCAAACAACACTTTCTGTGGTCTTTCAGAAAGTAGCAAGGGAAAGCTTTTAGGATTACTATTAAGAAAAATCCTTTTGGAAAAAAATAGAGGACACATATAACACTTTTCAACAAAAGCAGTGAATCTTGGATTAAAATTGAGAAGTAAGTAATGAAGAGTGAGGAATGTGTGCACATGGATATACTATAAAAGTGCAAAGTATTATATAACTAAATTGATAAAAATTATTTGAAAAATCAAGGTAGTAAAGATGCAGGCTTGGAATTGTAGACTTGGCAGCTTTTTTTTTAAAACAGGTCAACTTTAAGTTATATTTTGTTTCATTCTTAATAGTTTATTTAAATAGATTAGAAAACATTCATTTAGGCGGTGGTAGAAGCTTGTAATCCCAGCACTCAAGAGTCTGAGGCAGGATTGCAAATTCAAGGCCAGCCTGAGCTACACAGGGAGACCTTCTCTCAGAAAGGAAAAAAGAGAAGAAAAGAAAAAGGAAGGAAAGAAGAAAAAAGAAAAACACTTTAATTTGTAAAATTAATTTTATTGTTGACAAATGTTATTAAGGTTGTGTTAAAAATGGTTTGTTTGCTAAACCAAGAAACAGTGATTCTTGCCTGCTGTTCTCTCTTCAATGGAAAACTGTTGACTCAAAATCTCAATGGTGATACTTTTTTGAGAATTACAAAGAATTCATGACTATTTATCAATATGAAACACAAGTAATCAATTTAAGAATAATTTTAAGGCATGAAAGGAAAAGCTCACATTTAAAGGATGATTGTTTCTTTCACATCTTCACACTGAGAATTTGTTTATGCAACAGAAGGACTGCACAGAGGAGAAAAAATGCAAGCTTGTAATCAGTAACGATCTGTTCTGTGTCTTAATTGCATACTTTTTAGAATAAGAATTTTAGAGACACTATGGACTGCTATAAAATTCAGTAACTTCCTTTGAGAATGTAATGTGAAATTCTACAAAGAGTCACAAAGGAAATTACATGGTGACACTAAATTCTGCTACAATTTTATAGAATTGCTCATTTCAAATTTTATGTATTTTTAAGTTTTATCCTCAGCTAAGTAATTTCATATTTAACAAAGCTCAGTAACTTCTAAGAAATATCTGGACAAATTAATGCATTTTTCTACTGAACACTAGGTAATTGGTTAACTTAAATAGTACATATTTGCAGAATTAAACTATTGTCTTTACCTTTGTTTTATTAAATCATTTTCATCTGTTTTCAAAACTTCTATTTCCAAATTGTGACACCACAGCCCCCCCTTGTGGTCAAAAGAGATAGCTAATGCAGCCAAAATCCTGGACAAAGTGTAAGAAGTTTGTTTTTTGCTTTAAATTTTGTCTCAAGAATTTCCTTAAGAACTGATACAACTAAAAATTAAAGCTAGGGATTGTTATTAGGAGTTCTTTTTTATTCTTTTGCTGTAATGGACAACAGTATTTTAAGGGAAGGAATTGGACCATCTTATTCTGAAGGAATTTAGGACCATATTTCGCTAATACCGATGTGACTTATTCTCTATTCTTATCTACTTTGTAGATTTAATCTATGTTCCACAGGAAATGTGCACTTTATTAATACTGAAATTAGCATAAAAGTAGACTGTTACAATTGAAAAATTAACTGTTTTGGCCTAGACAATATATCTTACAGAATACAAGCACAGTCCTGTTGTAAGAGCAAATAGTTTTGAATTGCTGTGTGTTGAGGAAACGAATGATAATAATTCATTAATGACTAGCTCAGGACTGGTAATTGCAACACTGGGGACAAAATTCCTTTGGTAATAAAAATTGGGGTGATTCAGACACTGAAAGTTATAATCTCTGTTTTGGCTTTTTTTTTGGTGGTACTGGAGTCTTGCACTGACAAGGAAGGAGCTGTACTACTTGAGCCACCCCACCAGCCCTTTTGGCATTGGTTATTTTTTGACGTAGGGTCTCACTTTGTGCGTGGACCACAACACTCCTGTTTGTGTAT